GAGCACACGGGCAGCAGGGAGAGGGGCCGAGGCCGGCGGGCGAGAGACAGAAGGTGGCTGGACCCGGCCGGCCAGCACCCGGGTGCCCCTCACCCCCCAGGCCCCGGCTTCTCGCCGTCTCCCCTCTGAGAGGTGGGCAGCAGCCCGGGCAGCGTGCTGCCCCAGCACTGGCTATGTGTCTCCTGTCCCCTCTCACCAGGGGACGGTGCCCGGGGCCCAGCGTGGCGTGTGGTGCGTCACTGTGCTGGAGTGCGTCCTCCTCTGTGGCCCGGCCTGTCAGCCCTGCCTGGCTCCCCGCTGTCACATGCGGTAGCAGACTCAAAGTCAGTGGCCCCCGGCTGCTCTGGAGCCGCACCTGCTGCCCAGCGGCCATCTGGCCCCTCTCAAGGACACTCAGCATCGCACCTGGCTGTGTCTCACGTGCTCCCCAGGGACCCGGTGGCCGTGGCTCTGGGCCTGAGATGACCGGGCAGCCCCCCCCCATATTTGGATTTCTTTCTTTCCTTGAGGCTCCTCCTCAGGTTTTTATGAAGGGATCTGCTGGAGTAAAAGGAGTCCCCAGAGACCCAGCAGCACCCTGGGGCCACCCTAGGTCCCAGGGGACCCCTCCCCAGCCCCAGGCTCCACAGTGAGTTGCTAGCCCGAGGGGAGCTGTCTTGGACCTGAAGTGTCCTCAGAGTTCCTGGGAGACTCAGGCACCACCCAGAGAATGGTTGTGTGACCTGGGCCCTCGGTTTTTCTAGCTGTGAAATGGGAATGCTGTGGTTTGGGTGTGGCTTGAGTGTCACCCAACTTTCCACATGGGCCTCTAGTCCCCACAGTGTGAGGCTGAGACGTGGAAGCCTGGGTGTTAGAGGCCGGGCCTTTGGGAGCAGGCGGATTGGATCTGGTCGTCAGGGCAGAGCCCCGGGATGGAGCGCTGGTGTCTGTAAAGAGAGGTCGGACGGCTGGGCATGGCGGTGCGAGCCTGGCATCCCAGCGCTCGGGAGGCTGAGGCAGGAGGCTCGCAGAGAGATCAAGGCCTGCATAGTGAGACCTTGTCTCAAACAGAGACAGAGAGACAGAGGGAGAGCCCGTCTCCCGCATGTGGTGCCTGGCCCTCCTGAGACTCCTGGCCTGAAGGCCCCCCCAGCCGAGCTTCCGGAACCTCGAGTGAAGTGAACCTCTTTTCTTCACCAAGCACCCAGCTTTGGGTGTTTGGTGACAGTAACAAGGCACGGACTTGTCAAGTGGCCCAGTTTCGGCCCTGATGGTGCTGGCGCTGAGGGGAGAGGCTCCCCCAAGGCCACGCTGTGTTCGCACACCAGCATCCCTGTTCACCAGACCCTGCACACACCTATCTGCTAGTGCGTGTGGGTACGCATGCGTGTGACCGTGTGTAGAGTGTGCATACCAGTGTACAGCTGTGCACACATGGGTGGTGCGAGCATACACTCATCTGTGGGCGCACTGCTCCCCTCCGAGTTCCGTCCCAGCCCCGTGGCCTGCACCCCCGGCCCCTGAAAAGCCTCCCCAGTTTGCTGTGCCCCCTGCCTCAGTGGCCTGGCCTGTATGGTGGGTGGCACTGAGCTCCCTTCCCAGGCCTGTGGGGTGACATGTTGGTGGCATGGGGTTTGTGTGTGATTGTGTGTGTCGGTGTCTCCGGGCTTCTTGTGTGACTGTGTCTGTTGCCGGTACCTGGGGAGGGCTGTGCGGGGACCTGTGTGTGCCAGGCCTCCTGGATGGTGGTCTGCGGCGCGGCCCCTGCCCCTGGTGGCCCGAGCTGTCTCCCACGAGCCAGAGCCTGGCCTTTGGCGCCCTGGGGTGGGCACGGTCAGGGCGCGGGGATGCCCCGGGCGGGAGGCTGAGGCTGCCCATGAATTATTCAGCACCCTGATCTCACATTATTCTCCCGGATACTCTTACAACCTGTCAGTAAATAAAAAGATCCTACATTATTTATAGAGTGGAAGGCGCCATTATCGGGGAGGGAGGGGTGGAGGCTGCCACCCCACCCCGGCGGGGGGCACCCCAGAGCCAGGTGCTGGGGACCGAGCACGGGGGACACCCCCAGGCACAGGGCTCCTGGCTTCAGCAAACCTGGGTGGGCGGCTGAGCTGCCGCAGGCTGGGGCTGGCCCCTGAGCAGCCGGGCCTGCGGGGCACAGCTGGGTGTGCAGGGCTGCGCAGCCGGCCGGCCAGGGCAGGACCAGGGCTTGCTTCTCCCTCTGGGTTGCACGTCCTCTATGAGGACTTCCGAACTCTGCCCGCGTTGACTACTGTCTGGCGAGAATGCCGGTGCCCCTCTCTACCAGGCACTTCCAGGGGATCCAGGGCCTTTGTCCCTCACCCCGGAGTCCAGGGACAGCAGGGCTGGGCCATTTGCTCACCAGCCTGGGGTTCCCAGGTTCGGGAGCCCTTGGGCTGCAGAGGGCTGGCACCCCAGGCCCGGTCTGCTTGCTGGCCTCTGGCACCAGCGTTGGCTCAGCCAGAGGAGCTGTCTGTGCCCAGGAGCCGGCTCTGTGGCGGGGACGGGGGGAGAGGCTGGCACTGGGGCAGTGGGGTCTTCTGTGCTGGACATGAGGACACTGAGGAGGGACAGGGAGACCTCAGCACCCATCAGAGTGTGGGCAGCAGGCTCTGGTGCCCTATGGCTCCTGTCCCCTGCTCCGAGCCCCTTTCCGCTGTGACCAGGTGATGGAGGGGCCACTCCCAAACCGGCTGGCATGCTTGGTGGCGTGGTTGGTGGCATGGCTGGCTGGTTGGTGGCAGGATGCACAGCTCGGGCTCCACAGGCTTAGGGCTCCCTTCTCACCGGCTGCGGCCTGAGGCTGCCCCTTCCCTGTGCCCACTCAGATGGCGGCACACACAGGGCCACTTCTGTACCTGCAAACCTGGGCACTCGCAGGACGGAGGCCAACACCTCTGTGCCCCGGTGCCACAGGCTCCCACAGGTGGCCTGTGGGAGCGATCGGGGCCGGGCCACGCCGGCAGAGTGCAGAGGGCGCTGGTCCTGATGACCACCTTTATCTTTTCACTTCATCTTACGTTTTGGTACTGAGGCTTGAATCTAGGACCTGCCGTGTCCTCCGTCTCTTTCACATATTTTAAACACTTTGACACGAGGCTCACTAAGACACTAAGTTGCCCGGGCAGGGCTTGAACTTGGATCTCCTGCCTCAGCCTCCCAGAAGACTGGGCCTCCTAGGTGTGCACCACCACACGTGGCTCGTCGTAATTTGCCAGGCATCACTGCCATGACCCGCAGGCCGGTTCCAGATGCCGAGGAGGCAGGAAACGTGCCTCACCCCCACGTAGGCACTGCTGTGGGCTTGGCCAGGGCTCTGAGGGGACTGCCAGGCTGCCCAGATCCCCTGCGCCTGCCAGCTCTCGAGTCTGGTGGTCAGCACAGCCCATCTTGTTGGCAGTCCTGGGTCCCCTAATGCATAGACAGCCACCCCAAGATGGCTCTGGGCACCTGAGCACCAGCCCTGGATGGTCACCAATGTGTCCTCCTGGAGACACAAGGACCAACGCCCCGACCTGACCCCCACACTTGGCCAGGCTTTGCTGGGCTCCGGCGATGATGGAAGACCATCAGGGTGCCCTAGGGTGCCAGTGGGGCCCGGGCAGCCAGAGGCAGGGAGGACCAGTCCAGGCAGGCTCGTGGGAGGCCGCTGGCGCCGTGTAGGCTGCATCTGGGGCTCCTCGCCCGCAGCCCATCCCCAGGAGAAAGCTGAGCAGCGGTGGCCACGGGGCAGTGACTTCCGGGCACCAAACCCTTTGGAGCCCAGGCTCCTGGGGCTGCTCTGATGAAGGACCCCAGACAGAACGGTGTCTTCTGGTTCAAAAGCCGAGGTCTGAGGTCAGAGTGCACCCGGCCATGCTGCCCATTCCCCTGCCACGTCCTCAGCTCCTGCTGGCCTCTGTGTCCTTCAGGCAGCATCTTTAGACTCCGCTGTGTGCTCACGTGGCCAGGCCTGTGTGGCTGCCTCTCACGAGGAGCCCTGCACGATCCAGGATGGTCCCCACTCAGATCCCTCATCTTGCCTGCAGGTCCTAAGGACCAGGGTGGGGCCACCACTCAGCCTATGCCAGGCCCAGTGTGCGTTGACTGCCCATCTGGGGGCCAGGCCCGTGCAGCCCTGGTCACACAGGCCAGTCCTGCGTGGCCCCAGGCTCTGTGCAGCGAGGCCCAGCTTCCAGGGACAATGGCTGAGCCCCTGTGGTCTGCTCCTTCCTGGCCCCTGTGAGTCCAGATAGCCTTTACCTCTCCAAGCCCACACACATAACACATATGGGCATTGTGTATGCATGCGTGTGCATGTGTGTGTACCTGCAGGAGCACAGGCAGAGGCCAGGCATCTGGGCCCTCCGAGCGCGGAGGTGACAGGTGTGTGCCACCGTGCCCAGCTTAAGAGGGAACAGGAACAGGGACCTCTGAGCTCTCCAGAACCACAAAGCCAGGCGCAGAGCGAGTTCTGCTGTATAGCAATTTGCTGGATCTGCAGGAAGAGGCCAAGCACAGGAGGTCCCCTAGGTCCTTGGCTCCACCCCAGCGGGGACACAAGGCTACCTCTGGGCTCTTCCGGCTGCCAGATCGGCCCTGTCTCCCCGCTGACCCCGAGAGTGGGACCGGCTCCCCTCGGGGGAGGCTCCCTCACCGCCGGTGGCCTGTGGCCTGGAGTGCTTGTCCTGGGTCCTGAAGGTGCTCGCTGGCAGCCTGGCAGTGACAGTTTTATTGGCAGACGGGCTGCGGGGGGACGGCAGGCTATTTACAGTGTGGAGGCCACGGCTCCGCGCAGAGACAGTTACCATAAATTCACGTGATGGATCCGTTATCACCCCATTGAACTGGGGCGGACCCCCGGAAGGCCGGCGGTAACGCGGTGCTTCCCGGGCCGCGCAGCCCCGGGATACATTAAGGAGCTTTATTTATGGCGGCCGTGGCGGCACCGTGGGCAGCAGAACGCGGCTTCTGTGAGCGCCGTCTAATTTTACGACGAGCATTAAAGCCGGGCCTATAATTTGCACCTTTTTATTCATTAGCCAGTGGTGCAGCCATAAGTCAGAAAGGCCCGCGGATCCGGTGCGGACCAGAAGATAAACTGTTGACAAGCCAGATGTATTTTTACGTTAGCGCGCCTGCCCTAGTTTATGTGGAGAGTGGAATATAAATTGCATTATTAGATATGAACCGCGCTCGCAGCGGCGAGGGGGGCGCCCCACTTCTCAAGGTTGAACGTGGGGTTCTCTGCTGGGCTCCCACGTGGAGGGGGTGTTGGGAGCTCGGGGTGAGGGTGCTGCAGGCTGTCGGGGGTCTGATGGGCCGGGAGCCCCACTGCACGCAGGTCCTCAGCATCGGGGACCCCAAGGCCAAGGACTTCCCTTGGCAGGAGTCTGTCCTGCCTCATCCTGCAATGTCTGAGTCACGTTTCCCTGGGTGGTGGGGAGCCCTGTGCCCCTGCCTCTGCCCCTTAGTGATGGCGGCACCCCTTTGCTGTGACAACCGAGGCCCCTTCAAAGATTCCCAGTTGCCATGGGCTGACCTCTGAGCACACTGCGCTGTTTGAAGCCCTGAGTCCACAGTGCTGCCCAGTCACTTGCGACCCCTCTGACCTTGGCTCGCTGGCCTCACCTGCATCCCCAGAGGGTCAGAGTGCGGCACGGCCAGCTCCCTCTGGCTGTGGCCTCCTGTGGTTCTGAAAAGGCTGCCCCTTGTGAACAGGAAGGCTGCACAGATCCAGCCTTCACGGCATCTCCCGGAGGGTTTGCTGGCCCAGCCTGCTCCATCGGTCGGATGTGCAGTCACATTCCCAGGTGTGGAAGGCTGGCCTCTGGGTCCAGCAGACACAGACACGCCTGTGGGTCCTGGGTGTTCCCTGGGTTCCTCGAGGCCAGGTGGGAGGTCCCGTGCTCTGGGAGCTTTGGCAGCCCTGCGGGTGTACAGAAGTCCAGACGGCTGGCTGTGCTCGAGTTTCTGATCTGGGGTGCAGTGGGCTGGGTGCCTTACGTCCCCCGAGTTCCCAGATGCTGCCGCTGGGCCCTAAGAACGGGGTGGGGGCATGCACGGTGGGCGAGCGACCCCAGGAGCGAGCTGTGTGTGAACACCAGGCTGGGCTCCAGGGCGATGCCAGGCGCCTCCTGGCTGTGGCTCGAGTGGGTCTGGCACCCTCCCCGCCCCTGCTGGCGCTGGCTTCCCCCTCCCCAGCCATCCCGTCTCTGGCTCCCGACCCAGGCTGGCGACGGCTCCTGGACCGGGCTGGCAGCTCCAGCCGAGGCTCTGGAGCGCGTCGCTGGCGGGATTTGCTGGCCGAGCAGCCCGAGTGGGACGGGAAGGGGCTTCCGAGCTCCCCAAGCACGTGGGAGGCTCGAGATGGTTCCAGGAGGAAAGGCTGTGGCGAGCGGGAGCCAGCGACACCCGGGTGGGATCCAGCTAGCGCGGGGACCTGAGACTCAGCCCGAGCGCCACGTCCGTGTCCGGGTGCAGGTGGTGGGGAGGCGGGCGGGAGACCGGCTGAGGGCGAGGGTGCAGACTGCCTCGGCCTTCTCTGGCCCCAGAGGCTCTGCAGGGAGCGCGGGACCAGTGGTCATCAGGTCAGGGTCACAGAGGTGCCGGCTGGGCACTGAGGGAGACGCCAGGAGGGGCCTCTCCAGCAGGGACAGGGCAGAGCCACGCCAGCCCCCAGGGACGTGGTGGGTGCAGGACAGGATGGAAGCCGCTGGACAGGAAGAGCGGGGCAGACCTGGCCGAGGGCGCCCCTCTGGAGCCCGCGGTGACCTCCCTGGGGAGCAGTGCCCTGCAGACCTCGCTGGCCTAGACGGGGTCTGTGCCCTCCCCGCAGGGACCTGCCGGAGGACGGAGGGGTCCTGGAGCCAGGCGCTGCAGTGCCAGGGTCCTCCACCAGGGGGCGCCAGGCCCATCACCCACACGGGCCCCTGGGCCAGCCTGGTCTCCTGCTGTGCAGTGGGGACTGTGACTGTCCACTGGGGGCAGGAGGCCGCGAGTCAGGGGCCTGTGCTCGGGGGTCTGGCCGTATTCCAGGTCATAGGAAGATGGGGGCCTAGGGCTCTGCCAGGCCTACCTTTCTGTGGTGTCCACCCAGGCCCCACATCAGGGTACACCCCATGCTGGCACAGGAGGCTGAGGCCCAGAAGGGCCGGGGCCTGACACAAGGGTGCAAGGCCACAGCCAGGTCTCAAACACTGGCTCTCAGCTAGTTCATCACTTATTCATTCAACAAACAGCGGGAGGCTGCTTTCTGAGCCAGCGAGGAGAAGAGAGGAGCTCTCTGGACTGACAGTGTCTCCTCCCGCCCCTGAGCAGTGGTTCCCCGGCGGGCACACGCCTGTGGGGCGCGGGAAGGGTTCCAGGGCCAGTCCTAAAGAGGCAGCAGCAGTTGGGGGGCCCCGTTACCTTACTCGCCCGCTTCACCATCCAGGACCCGGCTGCACACTCGGGCTGCTGAGGGCAGCGCTGGCCACCCGCGGCGAGGCAGAGCCCTGCTCGCGGGTTAAGTGCCTGCCGCGGACGCCTCCGCTGACATCCCAGCATGAATAAAAGATGAGCCTTGCGGCTGTCAGGACCACGCACGCACGCGGGCAGTGAGAGACAGCAGGAGGCTCCGGGGAGGGAGGGGGACGGAGCTGCTCGAGAGGGGTGCTGGGCCTCCTGAGGCCTGGGGGGGGCAGTGCGGGAGGGGGGCTGTCTGTCGGGAGCAGCCAGCGGAGCCCAAGGGCACTCGCCCTACGCCCGGCCCTGTCTTTGTAGTGGGAGATGTAAGGGGGAGGCACCACCAGTGCAAAGGCCCTGAGGCCGGAGCATGCCTGGGTGCATTGGGAGCTGGGCAGGTCCTTAGGGCTCAGCGGCCCCTTGGGGCTCCTGGCATCCTCGATGAGTGGGGTCAGAGGAGCCTTTTGGGTTCCCCTCTTGGCCGGGGTGTCAGGGGGCTCTGGAAAACAGGCAGGGGCCAGGGCACCAGTCCCTGCTGGCTGCTGATTAACCAGCCTGGCAGTGCGCTGGGGCAGGGCATGGTACTGGCTCGCTCACCTGCCCAGCTGCTTGGTCTCCGCAACAGATGGCCCAGACCCCAGAGCTAATACTGAACTTGCCTGGCTTTTAAATAACAGCTCTGAAGCCTGCTGTGCCCAGCACGGCCCAGGCAGCCACCCACAGGGCTTGCGGGTAGGACTGACCCGGCCCGACACCTGCTCCCTGCCCAGGCCCGCTGGGGGTGTGGCTCGGGGTTTGGGGATGCTGCTGCCTGCTCTGGGGGCTGGAGATGCCTGGGGGAACCCGCCCTCTGTGAGGGGCGGTGCCAGGCTGCGTGGACCGAGCCCCCCGATCCTTGGGCTGGGTCCTGGGTCAGACCCTCATGGAGACACCAGCAGCTCCATCCGCCCGGTCCTGGCGCTGCCCCTGCAGGCCCTGCTGTGGGCCCCACGTAGCCCCCAGGGCCAGGAAGCCTCCAAAGTCGCTCCGGCCAGGGACCCCTGCGCCGTCTGCTTCCATCGGGTCTGGGCCCCAACACCCCAAGTCCTGGGCACGGCCAGGGGAGAGTCCAGGGGAGGTGAAGAGGCCCACGTCCCCAGCATGGTGGACGAGAGGGCGTGGCCCCGGCTGGCTGGAGCGGGCGCGGTGTGGACGCCTGCCTCGCCCGGCTCCTGGCTGACGGGAGCGCCGTCCACAGGCCAGCAGGCGGCTCCCACCCTGACCGTGAGCCTCCAACCCAGGCCCTTGTCCTCCGGTTCCCGGGGAGCCAGGGAGCACTGTGTCCCCACGTCCCCGCGCAGAGGCTGCTGCAGCCTCTCTTCCAGTCCTGGTGACTCCTGCAGTGTGACCAGGTGACGGCGGCCGCCGGGCAGTGACACCTGTGTCCAGCCAGCCGCCCCGCCTCGGCCTCCGCTTCCCTCCCGGCCTGCGGGATCCTGCTCGGATCCTTTAAAATGATCTGAAAGTAATTATGGCGCTCAGGCTGCCGGGAACACCTGCTCCAGCCGCCCCGGATAGTCCTGTGCCGCGCCGAGCCCCGACAGGCGCCCCAAGTCGCCAGATGCTCTGTGCCCCCCGCGCCGCCTCCCCCGCGTGCCGCAGCCAGCCTGTGTTTCCAGCGCGCGGTCACACAGCTGTCACTTAGAGCGATCGGTGGGGAGATCATCACCCTACGAAGTCATACATATGGAACATCATATTTGCAGAATATTTATTTTAACACATGTCAGGGCCTCTCGGGGTGCAGGCAGAGCCCCGCCTCACGCCAGGCAGCTGGGGCGGGCGCGGAGGGGACGATGGAGCAAGGGCCACCCCCTTCCCCAGCCCTGGGTGGGGCCCCGTCACCGTGTCCCCAGCTGCTCCCGTGTGGCCGGCGGCCAGGCCCCGTGCTGTCTCAGCAGGGAAGGCACCACCCGGACCCGGGCCGGCAGGAGTCAGGGGCCAGCAGGGGGTTTCCGGGGTGCAGAGGGGGCCTTGCAGGAAGCAGCCACACTGCCAGGTCCGGAGAAGTGGGGGGGTGTACCTGGAGCCCACCTGGAGGAGGGCGCCTGCTGGGCTGGCGTGGGGAGGAGTCGGGTGGCTCCCGCGGGCACTGCTGGGGCGGGGAGGCCGGTCCCTCACCGCCGGGGACTCCAGAGCCTTGGTTGCTGGCCGGGGGGTGCAGGCTGGTGCTTGGCAGCTGCCAGGTGTCTGTCAAGGAGGAGTCCCCTGGACCCCAGTGCGGCACAAGCGGACGCCTTAGAGACGAGGAGGCTGCGGGGTGGGCCGGAAGCTCACAGTGCGGTCTGAGGGTCCCCAAGCCCAGGGCGGCCTGAGAGGCCAGGGTCAGCGGCTGCTCTCAGGGGAGACCGGGCCTCTGAGACGCGCGGACACACGTGCAAAGACCCCTGGCCACTTTCTAGTGCTCACCCTGTAGAGAGGAGCCCGGCGGAGAGGTGGTGAGCACCCGGCCCTGGGAGGGAAGGCTGAGGCGGGAGGGTGTCACGAGTTCCATGCCAGGCCAGCCCCGGCTGCTTACCAAGACCTTGTCCCAGAGGAAAGAAAGGAAACGGATGGGCAGGGCAGCACAAGGAAGCTTCCTGGCTCTCTGGGAGGCTGAGGCAGGAGAACTGCACGCTGACCCCTTAGAAACTTAGTGAGAGCCGGCCTCGCGCTGGGCGCCCAGGCTCCGGGCTGCAGGGCTGCTGCGTAGCAGGTGGGTGCTGGGGGCAAAGCTCAGCCAGGCTGTGCTCCCTGCCTTCGACGTGGGCACTGTCCCTGACCGTCACCTGCCTGGTGGGGCAGCGTGGGCCGGCAGCAGGTGGACACCGTCAGGGTTAGTGCTGGCTGGGGGTCTCAGCGCTGTCACTGTGGACCTGACCCGAGGGCGCCTGGCTGTGCCCGTGCCCTCTGCTGAAGGGGGCCGTGGCGGGGAGCGCGGGGGCTGGCATGGCCAGCAGGTTCTGTGAATTCCGGGTTCTGTGGAGCTGCACCCGTTCTGTGGGCTGGTCCCCAGGGGTCACATCCTCGGGTCCCCACCCAAGCTCTGGGAGCCTCATCTGTCCCGAGGCGGAGCTGGCAGTGAGGGGCAGGGGCCCCCGTTCCCGACCCCTACCGCTGGTGGACAGGGTGTTTCTAAAGCGTCCCCTCACCCCAGTCCCTGGACACTGAGCCGGGTGACACACGGGTGTGGACACAGGTGCTCACCGTGGCAGGCCAAGCACCGGCCCCTCCCCGCCTGCGCGGCCCCTGTGCTGGCCCAGGCCTGCAGCCGGCACTCCCTGCTCCCGTGCTCATCCCCACCACCCGGGTGCTCCTCAGCCCTGCCCCAGGGCCTTTGCTTCAGCAGTTCCTCCAGCACGTGGGCTCGCTTGGTCCCATCTTCCCTCTGCCGCCTGCAGCGCTTGGGCCCAAAGCGAACGCACACACGCTGAGCCCCTCTCTGCGCACTCCCGGCCCGCTCGGGCCTGCTGCGGCGTCGAGGAGCAGATGCTGGGGTCTCCCGCTCACCCGTCTCCCTGGCCTGGGCTGTGCTGGCTCTGAGTCTTCTGCATTATTAGTGCCTGTTATTTTTGCTAAATATGGGGATTCGATGTGAAAAATGCACTCTGCCCGCCAAGTCCCCGTCCCTCCCCCTGACGGCCTGTGTGTTAGCCACCCCCTCGCCTGACAGTCACCTCCTTCTGCTTCCCTGCCGTGCTTAGATCCCTCGGGTTAGGGAAACACGGGAGATTTGTCTTTCTCGGTCTGGCCTGTTTCGATGCTATGGGCTCCAGACCCACCCATGTTCCTGCCGATGATAGGATTCTGCTCCTCTTTATGGCTGTATAATACTCCGCAGTGTGTATAGGTGCCACGGATTCTGTGTGTTTAGCTGTCGGCGGGCACCTGGGCTGGTCACACTGTGACCATTGTGGCCTGTGCCGTGGCAGGTGTGGGAATGTAGCGGGCCCTGGGTGTGCCGCCTGGGCTCCCGGTGTGCAGCTTTCCATCTTAGGGCAGCTGCGTGACTTTCTGGACAGCAAGGCTGGCACAGGGGTTCCCGGTCATGTGTGCAAACAAGGGTCGCCATGTGCGCAGAGTGTGGCTCACTGGGCCTGGGCAGCGGGGCCGCGGAGCAGCCAACATCCCAGAATCCAGGCGGCCCCGGGTCTCCCCGAGCTGTCGGGTTGGAGGGCAGACAGCTCCTGTGTTGTCAGAGGCCCCTGCGCCCGTGAGAGTCTCCGGGGCCCCGCCCGTCCAGAGTGCCCGTCCAGAGTGACCCACGATCTGATCTGTCAGTGCCGGCACCTAACGCAGGAACACAAGTCTCAGGGGTCCGCCGGGCAGAACGTTTCCCACCCGACTGTGCGGCAGGCTGTGCAGGCCCCGGAGCGGGAGCAGGAGCGGGGAGCCCTGAGCCTCTGCCCTCAGCCCGACCCGGCTCCCCCTCCGCCACCCTGCACCCGCCCTCCAGCCTCGCTGCCCCAGCCCACCTGGCCGGGGTGGGCACCTGACGCCCCGCGGGTGCCCTCTGCTGACAGCTCTGAGGCGCCCCGGCCCCCGGCCTACTGTCCCTGACATCTGTTTCAGTGAGTGATTAATTGCAATTAGCGTGCGGTGTGAAGCCGGGAAGAACACTCAGCAGAACGCTCGCGGAGATTAATGAGTGGCGGCCACGGCGCAGCCTCGCAGCCCACCTCGCCCTCAGCCCGCCTCCCACGGCCAGCCCTGGGTGATCGCTGTGTCTTCTGGAGACACGTGTTGCCCACCGACTGTACTGACAGGGCCCCTGAGCACCGCGAGAGGTCCCGGTGGACAGACCAGGTGAGGAAGCTTCCAGAACGCCGTGCCAGGTGGACCTGCCTGGCGGAGGGTGGGCCTGCACACCCCGCCTTCCTGCCGTGGGATTCGTGGCTTCGAGACCCGGCCTGCGTGGGTGTCCCGCACCCTGGCTGCATGTCCAGGCCACAGCGGTGGCTCTCGGTTGGCGGGTTGGGGGGCACATCCCTGAGAGCTCGCCCTGCCCCAGCCGTGTACCCCTGCCACCCGGGGCCGCTCCCGTTCCGTGTCCCGCCAGGGTCCACGATGT